TTTTGTCCAGTCGCTTCCCGCATCCCCCTCACCCCTTTCCCCCCCGAAGAATAGCCAGTCCATTCCCTTTCTATGCCCCTGATTCTATTATAATCACCAGTTCATTCTGTTCATCAGATTATTCACTTGATTTTCAGATTCACTTGTTGATAGATGTGTGTTTGTTGTTCATAATTTGTATCTTTACCTTTTTCTTCTTCTTCCTCTTCTTAAAGGATACCTTTCAGCATTTCATATAATCCTGGTTTGGTGGTGATGAACTCCTTTAGCTTTTCCTTATCTGTGAAGCTCTTTATCTGACCTTCAATTCTGAATGATAGCTTTGCTGGATAAAGTAATCTTGGTTGTAGGTTCTTGGCATTCGTCTCTTTGAATATTTCTTGCCACTCCCTTCTGGCCTGAAAAGTTTCTGTTGAGAAATCAGCTGACAGTCGTATGGGTACTCCCTTGTAGGTAACTGAGTTTCTTTCTCTTGCTGCTTTTAAGATTCTCTCTTTGTCTTTTGCTCTTGGCATTTTAATGATGATGTGCCTTGGTGTGGTCCTCTTTGGATTCCTTTTGTTTGGGGTTCTCTGCGCTTCCTGGACTTGGAAGTCTATTTCTTTCACCAGGTAAGGGAAGTTTTCTGTCATTATTTCTTCAAATAGGTTTTCAATATCTTGCCCTCTCTCTTCTTCTGGCACCCCTATAATTCGGATGTTGGTACCCTTGAAGTTGTCCCAGAAGCTCCTTACACTATCTTCATATTTTTGGATTCATTTTTCTTTTTCAGTTGGGTATTTTTTGTTTCTTCATATTTCAAATCTTTGCCTTGATTCTTGGGATCCTCTTGTCTGCTGTTGGATCTCTGTATAGAATTCTTTATTTCAGTCAGTGTATGCTTAATTTCTAGTTGGTCATTTTTCATATCCTCCACGGTCTCACTAAATTTATCGGCAGTTTCCATAAAATTCTTGAAAAACCTTATAAACGTGGTTTTGAACTCTATATCCATTCGTTTGCTTTCCTCCATTTCTGTCATTTGTGTCCTTTTTCTTTGTCTCCGCATTTTTTATGCTTCCCTGTGTTGATAAAGTGGTTTTCTGTGCTGAGTGTCCTCTAGGGCCCAGTGGTTCAGCCTCCCCAATTACCTGAGGAGGACACTTTTGGTGCACCCCCTTGTGGGCTTTGTGCACAGTCTTGTTGTAGTTAAGCCTTGATTGTTGTAGTTATCACTGGGAGGAATTGACTTCCAGGCCAATTGGCTGTGAGAATCAGCTGTGTCTGCAGTGGGAGAACTTCTGTGCTGGAGACACCCCTCTGGGGCAAGACTTGCTTCAGTGGGGCTTTGGTGCTCACTGAGTCTGCCCCCTGAGTGTGTCTTTATGGTTCCCCGGAGCTGCAAACTGGATGGTCCCACTCTGACCTCTGGGTTTCCTGGCTCCTGGATCTCTAGGGAGGTGCTAATTTAGCCTCTGCCTGAGGCTATCCAGCAAAAGCCTCCCTGCAGGGCTTGGGCGGGGCGGGTCCCAGGGGATCAAGAGGGCGGGGCTAGCAGTTATGGCTGCTCTCAGTCCTGCCCTCAGAGGCTCTGCTTCTCAATGTCCCGGTAATCGCTGTAAGCCCTTCGGAGAGAAAGCTGCCTCGAGTTCCAACTTATGCCAGACAGTCCCACTTCCCCCATATGAGTCTGGGTCCCTAGAGACTCGCCCAGAACTGGAGCTCAGAGCCTGAGACTCCCTCCCGATTGAAAACGACAACCGCGCCCTCAGCCACCAGCCCGCTCCACATGCACCTTCGCACCTTTGTATTTTACTTTTGTACTGTGCCTCCTCTGAGTCTCGGTATGCTTTTCTCTTTCCTTCTAGCTGTAGAATTTCCACTCAGCCAGCCTTCCTGTGATTCTGGATGATGTCTGTTCTGTCTTTTAGTTGTATTTTTTTTTTAATGTATTTTATTGATTTTTTACACAGAGGAAGGGAGAGGGATAGAGAGTTAGAAACATGGATGGGAGAGAAACATCGATCAGCTGCCTCCTGCACACTCCCCACTGGGGATGCGCCCGTAACCAAGATACATGCCCCTGACCGGAATCAAACCCAGAACCCTTCAGTCCGCAAACCAATGCTCCATCCACTGAGCCAAACCAGCCAGGGCTAGTTGTATTTTTGAAGTGGTTGTTCGAGGCAGCAAACTCCGGTGTTTACCTATGCCACCATCTTGGTTTCTCCCTCTTGTGGCAGTTTTAACGTTAGAGGCTTTATAGTATTTTTCACGCCCGGTAGGGCTAGTTGCCACATGCTTCGCCCCTATTTTTTAATTTTTCAGTGTTTTCCTAGGTATTTTCACATGGTTGGCAGTCTGGTTTTAAAGTATTCATTGACCTCCTGGGAGGTCCTGGGGGTGGGTCTGGATGGGATTGCGTTACGGTTGAGTTGTCTCAGATCTGGGGGTGCTTACCTATTTCAGTAAACTGTTTTTGTAAGATTCTGTGTTTTTTTAGATTCATGAACATGAAGGCTTCTAGTGGCTGGATAGCACCCATTTTCCCCTAAATCTTTAAAAGAACTTTTAAAAACGGTCTTTGAGAGAGAGTGTTAAAATTTGGTAAATTTTGAATAAAAAATGTATGAGTTTTCTGTACTATTCTTTTAATTGTTCTGCAAGCTTATAATTATTTCTAAATAAAACATATTTAAGGTCTTTATGCTTCTGGTAACATCTTGGTAGAAGTTTTCAGAAGTCTACCCAAGCTGTGTTCACAGATTCTGCCTTTTCACATTTTGCTTGACTCTCCAAAGAAATTCAGCAGATCAGTGAAGTGTAACCTTACAGAATCAGCGTTGCTTTTCATTCAGTGGTTTGTGCTTCATTGTCTGACTGTGGGGCAAAGACACAATGGCCACCATGAGGAGAAGGTATATTCAGGCCAAAAGTCAATGCAAGCAACACCATCCTATATAGTAAAAGCCCAGTGTGCTAAGTGTCTGGTTGACCAGTCAGCCGTTCAACCAATCAAAGCATAATCCTATATAATAAAACCCTAATATGCAATCAACTGAATGGCGGAACAACCGGTCGCTATGATACACACTGACCACCATGGGGCAGACGCTCAATGCAGGAGCTGCCCGCTGGTGGTCAGTGCGCTCCCACAGCAGGAGTGCCACTCAGCCAGAAGCCAGGTTCACAGCTGGTAAGCGCAGTAGCAGTGGTGGGAGCCTCTCCCGCCTCCATGGCAGCGCTAAGGAGCAGTGAGCCTAGCGGTAAGGAGCAGCAAGCAGGCGAGTGGTAAGGAGCGAGGGGTCCTGGACTGTAAGAGGTATGTCTGACTGCCGACTATCCCCCAAGGGGGTCCCAGACTGTGAGGGTGCAGGCCGGGCTGAGGGACCCCCCACCCCAACAGTGCACGAATTTTGTGCACTGGGCCTCTAGTATGCTAATGATATGCTAAGGCCACTCAACCGCTCCCTGTGACATGCACTGACCACCAGGGGGCAGACACTCTGATAGGTTAACTTGCTGCTGGGGTCCAGCCAATTGGGGCTGAGTGAGATGGGCAGACATGCCTTTGTGCCCTCCCACGATCCCTCCCCGGCTGGCCAACCTCCCACATCCCTCCCTGGCCCTGATCATGTACCCGTGGGGTCCCTTGGTCTGGCCTGTGCCCTCTCACAATCCAGGACCCCTCAGAGGATGTCAGATAGCTGGTTTTGGCCTGATCCCACAGGATAGGCTGAAGTGCCCCACCTGTGCACGAATTCGTGCACCAGGCCTCTAGCCTGTATAATAAAAGCCTAAGCGACCGTTATGGTGGAACGACCGGAACAACCAGTCGCTATGATGTGCACTGACCACCAGGGAAGCAGACGCTCAAAGCAAGAGCTGCCCCCTAGTGGTCAGTGCACTCCCACAGGGGGAGCGCTGCTCAGCCAGAAGCCAGACTCATGGCTGGCAAGTGCAGCTGCCACGGTGGGAGCCTCTCCCAACTCTGCAGCAGCAGGTGCATTGGGCCAGGATGAGCACGAGCAACGCCCAGCACCAATTCAGTCTCCTCCCTGGCCTCCTGCTGCTTGGCAAACTGCCACATCCCCCAAGGGGTCCCAGACTGCGAGAGGGCACAGGCCGGGCTAAGGGACCCTCCTCCCCCAGTGCATGAATTTTGTGCACTGGACCTCTAGTAGAATATAACAGTATTCTGTGGAAGGTAATTTACATAAGGGATTTAGGGTTGGAGTGGGCAGACTGCAGAGATTATTTTCTACTAACAGACCTTTGTTACAGTAAATTTTTACATATAAATCAGATTTGGCTGGTGGTCAGGGACTTGGAAGAATCGTGATTGGAAAATTGATGACAAGGAGGTGTGTGGATAGATTTCTCTGAATGGGAATGAAAGGGTGATCTCTGCAGAGGAGGATTTTAATTTTTTAAACTATTTTTGTATTGCCCATCTGGTGTGGCTAGGTGGTTTTTATTTATTTAAGGGAGAGGGAGAGAGAGATAGAAACATCAATGATGAAAGAGAATCACTGGTCGACTGCCTCCTGCACGCCCCCTACTGGGGATTGAGCCTGACTAGGAATCAAACAGAAGGATTTTAATAATCAGGTGGCTAGATTAATCCATTCTGTGGATGTCATTCAGCCTCTTTCCCCAGCCACTCCAGCCATTGCCCAATGTCAGGGGTAAAGGTTATTTATGGGCTCAGCAATATGGATTTTAACTCTGTCCAACAATGGGACAAAGGCATAAAGGCCACGGTAATGCGAAGATATGTTCAGATCCAAACACATTGTAGGCAACTCTGTAGAATGCAAGGGAATTTATTATGGGGTAATTTGGTTACTACAGAAATGTAGGGTCAGTGTGGACAGATGACTGGACAGATGACCTAGCAGTTCTGTGCAAATTATTTTCCACTATAGACCCCTGTTGCTGTACCTTTTTAATAGTATAACTCAGGTACTGATGATTGACAAGACAAAGGGACAAAGGATGCAATGGCTCCAGGGGACATCCCTCCTGGTGGTCTTGTGATGGATGATTGTTTATAATTGATACTACCTCCATGCATATATAGTTTCCCATGCAATTCCAGCCATTACTAACAAAAATGTTTATGGTTACATTTTATGGAACACAGGTAATCATCAACTAGAAGGCTTTGATACGCTTGCTATGATCAGTGAGGTTGGTCAGAAGTCATAGCATGAAGGAAATCCAGGACACAAAGATGGAGCTAGTTTTGTTCAAATCTACACAGCTAATGTAAGCATTCAGTCATTTGAGATTATGCAAATATCTATTGCCTTTCACCTATCTACCCCAAAGGAAATTCTGTCCATCCTTCAAGCCCAGATCCACAAAAGGATCTTCCTTTCACCTGTTTTGCTTATCATATTGTATTTTTTTTTCCATTTTTTTAAAAATATATTTTATTGATTTTTCACAGAGAGGAAGGGAGAGAGATAGAGAGTTAGAAACATCGATGAGAGAGAAACATCGATCAGCTGCCTCCTGCACATCTCCCACTGGGGATATGCCTGCAACCCAGGCACATGCCCTTGACCGGAATCGAACCTGGGACCCTTCAGTCCGCAGACCGACGCTCTATCCACTGAGCCAAACCGGTTTTGGCTCATATTGTATTTTGCATTGGAGACATTCATGTGCATCTTTTCCCCACAGCTTTATTGAGATACAATTGGCATATGACATTGTGTAAGTTTAAGGTAAATAACGTTATATGATATACGTATATATTGCGGAATGATTACCACAATAAGTTAACACTTCCATCACCTCACACAGTGAACTCTTTTTGTTTGTGATGAGAACATTTAAGATCTACTCTCTAAGCAGCTTTCACGTCTATTATACAGTACTGTCATATGCATCTTATTTGCTCTTGGAGGGCAAATCTATTTATTTTACATTTTTCCCCAGGCTTCACTCAGTTCCATTGTGAAGTAGACACAACCATTAATTAGAAGAATAACTTGCACGTCAATTTTCCTGTTAGTCATGGTTCTCAGTATAATCTCCCTTTGGACCCATTTAAATTTCTGTACTGGGAAGTGGTTACTACAGACCAAGTCTTGGTGATCACTAAGGGAAAGGAGGTAATGAGAACAAAGTATCACTTACCCTTCCTTTCAGGAGATACTGTGACAAAGCAAAGTAAGTTGCAGAGTGAGGGGCTCAGTCCAGCCGGAAGCCCTGCAACTGCGAGACAACTTTGGAGCCTTTTGGAGGCGCCATGGACAGACCTAGACACCCACAGACAACAGCAGGGTTTACATTTCCGTTATTTGTAATAGTAATAATAATGCATGCTTGTTATAGAAAACTAGAGGCCTGATGCACAAAATTCATGCAAGAGTAGGCCTTCCTTCCCCCAGCTGCCAGCACCAGCTTCCCTCTGGCACCCGGGACCCGGGCTTCCCTTGCAGCCCCGGCTTCTTCCGGAAGGACATTCGGTCTAATTAGCATATTACGCTTTTATTATTATAGATTTGGAAATCAAGTTTTTTGTTGTTAAAAATATAGATGAATAGATAATAATTTTTTATTTTATGGTTTTTTTCTTTTTCATTAATTTATTGATTGATGAGAGAGAGAGAGAGAGAGAGAGAGAGAGAGAGAGAGAGATTGATTGATTTGTTGTTCCACTTCTTTATGCATCCTTTGGTTAATTTTTGAATGTGTCCTGACCAGGAATTGAACCTTGGCGTATTGGGACAATGCTCTAACCAACTGAGCTACATGGCCAGGGCTAATAGTCATTTTTTTAGGTTGACTTTTAAATTTACACTTTAAAAAACAGCTTTATTGAGATATATAATATAGAGTACAATTTACTCATTTTAAGTGTAGTTTAATGGTTTATAGTATATTCACAGAGTTGTGCAACCACCATTGATTTTATTTTTAAAATTTTATCTTTATTGTTGACAGTATTACAGATACCCCCTTTCTCCCCCCATTGACACCCTCTGTTCAACCACCATTGATTTTAGAACATTTCTTCACCCCAGAAAGAAACCCCACCCCATTAGCAATCACTTCTCATCCCTACTGCCCACCCACTCGCAACCTAGGCAACGACTAATCTTTCTGTCACTGTAGAATTGTAGTCTTTTTAAACATACTTTAATTTGTTGTGTAATATTTCATCAAATAGCTATATTATAGTTTACCATTATTTTGCTTGCTATTATTTATTTTTAATTTTTTAATATTATAAATAATATAAGTATATACATTTGTATGTACACTTTTCAATATTTAGGATTATTTCTTAGGGGTAGATGCCCAAAGTACAGAAATGTATAATCATAGAGCCATAAGAAAAGAGACTCACAAATGTCTTCACTCTCCCTCCGAGCTCACTCAGCTAGTAAGTGTCTATGAAATTCAGCATGGTATAACAAAAGGATAAAACAATTGCTTACCTTGAAGAACTGTACAAGATGGACACTCAAAATAATGAGCTACAGTCTAGTTCTAGTGTGGATTAGATCATGTAACATGAGGCCACAGTGATAGTGTACAAGGAGGACCAGAATTGGATTCAAAATAGACTCATTCCTGGCTCTCATTCATGAGTTGTGGTATGATTTTTTTTTTTTTTTGAGAGAGAGAGAGAGAGGGAGAGAAAGAGAGAGAGAGAAACATCAAGGATGAGAGGGAATCATTGATCAGCTGCCTCCTGAACCCCCCACCCCGCCCCACCTGGGGATCGAGCCCGCACCCCAGGCATGTGCCCTGACTGGGAATGGAGCTGTGACCTCCTGGTTCATAGGTTGATGCTCAACCACTGAGCCACACTGTCCAGACATGAGTTGTGGTATGAAATTAAACTCCCCCGAGCCTTAATTTCCTCATCAGTACAATGGTAGGAGCATTGACATCGACTTCTGTAGTGATTAGAAACAAGAAGTGGTTTCTGGCCTATCCAAGAACAGAGAGAAGGAAGAGCAAGTTAAAATATTTGGGAGGGCTCTAGCCGGTTTGGCTCAGTGGAAAGAGTGTCGGCCTGTGGACTAAAGGATCCTGGGGTTCCATTCTGGTGAAGGGCACATGCCTGGATTGTGGGCTCAATCCCCAGTAGGGGGCGTGCAGGAGGCAGCCAATCAATGACTCTCTTCATCATTGATGTTTCTATCTCTCTCCCTCTCCCTTCCTCTCTGAAATCAATAAAAATATTTTTTAAAAAAATAAAATATTTGGGAGGGGGAAGAAGTTAGAACCTGACTTCACATAGTTTGGTGACCTGCTGTACCCAAAAGAAACAAAAGGAAGTATACTTTTTATGTAAAAGGAAATACATTTACAAGAATTCAGATTTTAAGCCATCTTTTGTCAGTATTAGCATATTTCACAACTTTAATAATTTCATGATTTATGGCAGATTCACACTAAGTTTTACCAGAGAGGTGACACTGATAGTTACCCAGCAGTAGCTTGGGAGCGCTGACCCCACTAAAACCATCTACACTCTGTGGTTAGGCGTTCGTGTGCAAGATGGCCACCCAATTGCACTTTTCCTCTCCACCCTGCACACAGTGGTGAAACCAAAGGAGCCATAGGAAGTATTACCACACTGCAAGTGAGGGAGGGAAAAAACATGATTTGCAAATATTGTCAATTAAAAAACGTGTTTCCATCTTACTCAGCTGGCCAAATGCAGTCTATGTGTAAGAATATTCTGTAGAGGTGGGGGAAAAATCCTTCCTGGGTTAGGAAGGTGAGAACAATAAAAAAGTCTCAGCTGCCTCTGGCCTATGAGGTCCAGTCTGCAGTCTCAAGGTGCTCTAGCCGCACATTCCCAGTGGCTTCATTTGTCAGACACACTGACAGGTGTAGTTCAGGAAAATATTGACCAAGCTGTTAAAAAGAAATATTGTCAGGAGCTGGGTATTCATACCGACAGAAAGTCTTAAAATTACTCAGATTATATAAACTCTGGGTCTTGAGACACCTTTTAGAAGCCCTGATTCTGAAGCCTGTGTAGAACAGGTCTGTGAAACAGCCCCCCGGAGCATTCACACCTAAGTCCCAGGGGCACAGCAACTCACTGTGTGCTCAGCTTGCAGGGGTGCTCTGAAACAGGGCAAACAGATACACTGGAGTAGAAGAGCAAAGACAGCCTTTCAAAGGAGAGCATTTCTGTGGCTGGCTGACAGTGCTGGTGGCAGGAAAATAAACACGGTCTAGGTTGGGGCCAGAACTCCTCACTTTTAGCAATTTCCCCTCCTTATTCTTTTTAAAAAAATAAAAACAGCTTTATTGAGATTCTAGAGGCCCAGTGCACAGATTCACACACTGGTGGGGTCCCTCAGCCTGGCCTGCGGGGATCGGGCCGAAACCGGCTCTCCAACATCCCCTGAGGGGTCCCAGATTGTGAGAGGGTGCAGGCCAGGCCAAGGGACCCCACCGGTGCATGACCGGGGCCGGGGAGGAACCGTGGGAGGGCTCTAGGGCATGTCCAGCCTGTCTCACCCAGTCCTGATTAGGGCCAGCCGGCCTGGGAGGGACTGTTGGAGGGCTCCAGGGCGTGTCCAATCGGCCGGACCCCAGCAGCAGGCTAACCTACCATTCGGAGCATCTGTCCCCTGGTGGTCAGTGCGCGTCATAGCAACTTGTCGAACTAACAGTCGGACACTTAGCATATTAGGCTTTTATTATATAGGCCAATTCATATACTATAAAATTCACCCTTTTAAGGTGTACAGTTAAGTGGGTTTTCTTTCTAGCATATTCACTATTTAGTGCAGCCATCACCTCTATTTAATTTTGGAACATTTTCATCACTGTCTCTCCCCGCAAAAAAACCCTTACCTATCAGCAGTTACTCCTTGTTCCCACTCCTAAGCCCCTAGTCTACTTTCTGGATTTGCCTATTCTGGACATTTCATATAAATGGAATACAATGTGTGATCTTTTGTCACTGGTTTTTTTCGTGTAGCATGATGTTTTCAAGGTTCATCCATGCTGTAGCATGTGTCAGTCCTACATTCCTTTGAATGGTTGAGTAATATTCCATTGTGTGCTAGACCACAGATTGTTTACCCAGTTATCTGTGGACAGATACGTGAGGTGTAAGAACATGGGATGTGCTCATGCACTCGACAGCATTTCTTGAGCACTCTTATTTGATGGGGCGGGGGGGGGGCAGGTATCTGGGCTCCAAAGCAGAACTCCTAGGAATAAGAAGACTGGTGGTGGTTAGTAGAAAAGTCATTACCACCCTGATCGGTTTGGCT